CGTTTGGTAACTCAAATTGCTGTTTGAACCTTCTGACAGCACTTTGAGCCCTTGATTCGGACTCATTTGGGCTCGGATTGGGTTGATCTTGGTGTCGTTGGGTTCGTATTTCCGAGACGCTCAATTTGATTGTAAGATCGCTGAAATCGGAGTTCATATGCTCCCGGAATTAATTTTTGAAGTTTCCGAATTGATTTTGCCTCGAGATTCATGCCCAATCAAGATTATTTTGTGATGACGTATCAGATATTATTACTGTCAAATGATATTAATAATAATATTGTTATTATTGCTATTAATATTATTATTATTATTATTATTATATTAATAACAATGATGTGATTATTACTATTGTTCGTAAAAAAAGAAGGAAAAAAGAGGGGAAAATAGAGAATTCAATAAAATGGAGAGAGATAAAAAAACAGAAAGAACGAATGAATGAGAAAAAAAAAAGAAACAAAGATATGGATTTTATGTATTTTGTTGTCTTCGTCGCCATTGGAATGCAAATGTATAATCCCTTAACCACTAAAACTCAAAGAGCATATTTTCATCGTTTGCGGCGCACCGAAAGACCGCAAATACACAATTTTACTAGTGTGGTGAGATGGAACCCCGGTGCGATGCCAAAGAGGCGGGTAATTACCTAAAACCTCATTTCGGCATTTGCGACGTACCGAAAAATTGCATATACACACTTTTATTAGCTTGGTTGGATGGGAATCTAGTACGATGCCTACGACGAAGCAGGGTTATTTATAAGTACCATAGAGCAGGGGAAAATCAAATGTCTTTTAAAACATGTACCTTCGAAGACCTCATACACACTTTTATTAGTGTCATGGGAGTGAAGACTACGAATGCGGTGTCTATGGATATCTATCAAACACGCTTTTATTAGCGTAGGCCTCGTAGGACTGGGTTACCCGGTAGTAACCAATTTTATTAAGTTAATTTGATTGATTGTAAATTTAAAAAAAAAATAATTAAGCAATTTATTATTAATTAAGGGTTAAATTAGTTAAGTTTGCTATCAACTAGTTAGTGGCATTATGTCATCAGACTCGAGGTCCAAACCTCCTTAGGACACTTAGCTCCACAGTCTGAAATAATTTATCATAAAAACCAAGTTGATATAGTTGTATTAAGAGTTTTTATTTGGTTAATTCATTAATAATTAATTAATTTTAAAGCTTTAGCACTTCATTGAATCCATTCATGGAGTTGTGCCACCATGCTCGAGGAGCCATGCCTCTTTAGGACACATCCCTCGCAGCTCGGAATAGTCCATCCAATAAGCTTCATCTTTAGAGTGGTTGTTGTGTATTAAGGAGTTTGTTGATTGATTTTAAAAGATTAGCTTAATGTTTAGTTAAGTTTTATGCGAGTTATTAGATTTTGGAATTTTGATTAAGCCTCTTAATAAGTTTCTTATGTTATTTACTCAATTACTTACGATTTGATTTATTAGTATTCAATATTATGAGTGTTTTAGATTAGGTGTGTAATTAATTATGAGAGAATTTAATAAATTAGAGTTTGATCTTTTAGAAGTCTTTTTATTTAAGACGTTTTAGTTTAGGTTTAATCTCTTGATTTTATCTTTCGCCTTTTAAGTTTGGGTTTGTTGGGAGGCTGATTGATAGATCAATTACTTAGTTCAGGTTAATGTTCAAGTTTGTATTTTAATGATTATGTATATTAATTATAGTTTGATTGAAAGTTAAGTTTTTTTCTACATTTTGATTTGGGTTTTTATAGGTTTTATTGATTAATTATTAATAAATTATGACACACTAATTCTAGAAAAACATATCACTAAGGTTTCAATGTTATATGTTTTTATCATAAACCTAAGTCTATGTTATTTAAGACTCAATCCTTAATTTTTGTCCTTAACTGTCACTAGCATTGTATAGGATGAAAAGATGTTTATTTCTAATCCTTTGGGCATACACATATGTAAATAGATCTGGGGATTTATAGTAAAATAAGAAAGAAAATAATCTAAAAATTGAAGTTTCTACATGGTCATAATGATAGGGAACGTGCAACCATGGGGGCTCCTAAAGAGCTTTCTAAGTTTTAAGAGAACTTACTACACTGGGGGCTACAACCCGGTGGTTCCGCCCGTAGCACCCCCATCGAAATGAATGGGGGTGACGGATTTATATATGAAGGCTCCTTCGTCTAGTGCTTCAAAGATTCTTCTTCTTTGCTTTCCCAAAAGCACCTCGCAAAAACCACAAAAAAGCAAAGAAAAGTTGTATTAGAGCACATTAATATTAATTATGCAAATAGCTGAAATAAAAATGCAATTAAAATAATAACGTACCTTTTTTCGGACTTGGATACAGGTTGAGTCCTTTGCCTTTTGAATCTTTGATCTTATAAGTACTTTTGCATATTTTATTTTGAGGCACAAGTAAGATGGGGAGTAGTAAAAGGGGGAGAAAGATGAATATAAATAAAACTATTGTATGCTTATCAACATTCCATTTCCCGACAACCACCCAACTTCTTCATACAAATGCAAAGTAACCACTTCAACATCCCTCCTTCCCAAACATAACATGAAAGACAATCCAAATTACCTTTCATGCTTTCACTAAAGTCACAACAATAAAACCACATACATTTTGAGAATGAAAGTTACACTTCCTCATGCCAAATAACCAAGCAATCAATCTGATAGAAGTTCGAACTTAACATTCCCACTGAAAGAAAAAAAGTATGAGGACAATAAACATGTAAGCATACATAAAAAAGTATTGTATTTATTATCATTTTTTAACAATATATTTGACTTCATCAAACTCTCTCAAGATGACACGAATATGATTTATAAAAAAAAATCAAGTTGATACGAATTTTAACTTGATTGCATTTCATCACCTATACATGACAAGCTTCCAAACTTCACACGCAACATGCGAGATTTCTTATAATAGTGAAACATAAACATGTGTATTTGCTCACTCCACCAATCTTTGAGTCATAACATTAGAAAGACTATGTCACTTCCCATACACTTGCTTGACCTCTTCAACACAAATTCAAAAAATCAACTAGCAATGATACCATCACTCAATAGAAATACTGAAATTCATTAACATGTATTACTTCAAATGCTAACGGAAGGAAACCCTCTTGCAAAAACATGATATAGGCTCCAACAAAAGTGTGTAAATCATTATTGTGAAGTGCACATGTAGCATTGAAACATACTCATGAATTCAAACTTCTCCAAATATAATAACAACTAAGTATCCAAACAGCCTTTAAAGAATAAATATGATCATGAATAAGGAAGAGCCATATGCCTACGGGAGAGGAATTAGGGAAATCATCCAAAAAGTACACAAGCCACCATTCATGATATGAATGTGTGAACCCTTTATTTCATTGTTATTGAAGCTTCTTAGATTTTTCTCAAAGCATATATAAAAGGAAATACAAATACACTAATTAGTAATTACCCATCATTATTTTTTATTTGAACATATATTTTCCTTAATAGGTATTATCACAAATATTTTGCAAGCATGCTTTGACAACAACAACATGATTTCCCACAATCTCCCACGATTTCTACACCCAAAACTTTGCATTATAAGACATGAATCAACCACATACTAATCGCTCATTCTCAAGCAACATAAATCAACACCTTTGAGAGATCTATAAATCAACACATTGTAACAAAGTCAATTGTGATCATCACAAGCTACCATGACATTTGACTTAAAGAATAAATACATTCATTAGGAGCAAGAAGAGTTGAGGTGTAGTGACAAATATACCATAAAAGTTCTACTCACAATTTCAGTTTTAGCCAAAATAAACTTTGCATAGATTTAACTTGTCATCCACTAAATCACCCACAAGATTTCGAACTAAAATGAGAGGAAACAAGGGAAGCTGGGGTAGGAGAAGAAGCTTAAGGAGAAGAAGGGGAGGAAGATCAAGAAGAACAAGACAAAGAAAAGATACAATAAGGAGATTAAGAAGGAGAAAGAGAAGAAGCATAAGGGGAAGAAAGGGGAAGATGTTACCTGTACTGAGGCCGGCGATGGGGACTCGCGAACGGGAGGGAGGAAACCGAGAGGGAAAGAGTGAAGTGACTTCGCCTGGGGTTCGGCTTGTTCCTTGTATGAGGCGGGCTGAACAGAGCAAAGGAGCAAGAGATCCGCCTCTCACTCTCACTGTTCGAGAAACGATCTTCTGCCGAACACGGGAATAGGCTCTCTGCTCTGAACATCTTTCCAAATCGAGGGTATTAAGCAGTCGAAGCGTCTGACAACGTCGGATTTGAAATTTCTAGATGATCGGAGCCGTCCAAACAATTTCCTGATCTGATGCCAAATTTGAATTAGTTTAAAAAGTCAATAGATCTTTAATTGGAATTAGGATGAATCTATAGGCTGAAATCAGGTTCAAATAAAACCCAATTTGACTCAATCTGGGCTAGATTGGGTTTGACTCGACTCAAAAAAGACAATTTAACAAAATCAAACTCAAATTAATGCTGATTCGAATCGACTGGCTAAAGCGAATTAATCAGGCTTAATCAAAGATGGTTGAGTCTAATTCGACTCAATTCGAGCCGATTCGAGCTCGAATTGAACTCTACAATGCTTAATTCGCTTTGTGTACAAGCTCATGGGATATGCATTATGTCCACTACAGAGTCGAAGCCTAGTGTCCAAGTTTTGCTCACTTTTCAATGTTTTATGGGTTAAAAAAGTGTAATTAAACTATCATGAAAAGCTTGAAAGAGAATATTAGAATTAAATATGAAGAAATATATAGATATTTTAGGGTAAATTAAGACAAAAGAGTTTTTTAAGGAGGGCAAAAATAATTTTTTAGGAGTGACAAAAAAATTTTTTTACTCTCCTATATAAAAAAAAAATTATTTACTCTCCTATAAATTTTTTTTTTTAAAGGGGGGCAATTGCATTCCCTTTTAAGATGTGTGCATGATATGCTTGGCCCACTTATTGCATTCCCTTTAAGACAAAGACACATACCCACTATTGAAATTGAAATTTTTTACGACAGAGTGTTATGAAAGCATCGTTGTAATGTACTCAGGATGACATGGACATAATGAACACATTCATAACCAGCTAAACAAATAAATTAAAACATGCTAATGCTCATGAAATATTAATGAAAATTAAAAAAAAAGCTTTGAGAATTTAAAATTAAATAGAAATTTTTTATTCCTCCATCCTAGCATAAGAAACAAATTTAAAATTAGATTTGGAAAATGCCAATTTAAATTATTGGATTTGGAGAAGTCTTGATAGCGCAAAATCATCGAAAAAATTCTTTTTAAGCTTTTTTTAAATTTCAAGCATATATGATTTGGATATTTCAAGTAGCATGCATTACATTAGAAACACATTTAAAAGAGTCTAAATTTTAATTGTGTCTGTCTTTAATTTTTTCATCCAACATAAGTCAAAGGGGCCACTTAGGACAATCCTACACGTCGTCCATAGCTCTCCAAAACTTTAATAAAAAACGTCTCTACCACTCTTTCATAAAAATGTCCTGATTCATGTATTTAAAATCGACTAGGTGGCTAGATGGCTCCCAATCTAGGCTAGGGTAAGTCTAGATTATGCACTGCCTTACTTCCCTTGATTCCGCTTATAAGTGTTCAATCTTGATATGTTCCCTTTTGAAATTCCAAAGTTCACTTCCTTTGATATCACTCCTAGATAGTCTTAAACAAAATTTTGTCATTATTTTAATCGAGAGTATTCATAATAAATCTCGATTTCTTACAACATAATTAACTACGAGGGCTTGCGCTCGTCGGAGATTTAGAACCACACACATCTGATTTTCAAAATTTAATTGGATTTCTTTGGAAAACTTAAAATATTAACGATCATTAACATCATATTTGAAAGAATTAATATCGGATGATATTTTCTCCATTTGGGGAGATATATCCTTTGTTGGTGAAGTCTTGAATATGAGCTTAATGATCATCCCTCTTGATTACTTTAGCCGGATATTTAGTTGAACTTCATTTTGGCCCTTTGGGGTCATACGAAGTTCTCTCTTAAATTCGGTCACGATATTCAAGACGGGATTTGTAATTCTGAATCAAAATCCCATTCTGAAAGTTTATTTTCTCCTCCCGAGGTGATATCTTTTTTGATGGGTCGTTCAATTTTAGAATTAGAATTCAACAACAATTTAAAATTCCCAAAAAAAAAAAATAATATTTTTCAAAATCTGCTTTAAAAAATTCCACCAACAGTCATGTCTTATTGTACATTATGCATGTGACTTTTGTTTAGAGTGAACTAGACTTTTGCTCAAAGTAAAATCTTGGTTCAAATTATATGGTTTGATTTAACATTTGACACAATAACTAGGTACTTTCATTTTCTTTGCCTCAATATTTTTTCTCATCGTCATTGAGTCCGTCATTGGTCTTCCATTCTCTCTCCCTAGAGCTAGTAGCTTTCAGTCACAATCTTCTACTCATCGATGCTTCTCAATGTCTCATTTTTGTGCTTTCTTTTGCTTCAGTTGTGGTATGGATCTATGATTAGTTACTTAATCTCATAAGTATATTCTTAATTTTTAAATATTATTACATTGCTTCATTACTTATATAATACATATGATTGATTTTTTTTTTGAGCTTTCAAATAGTTGGAAGTTTTTGTTATTAATATTTGTTTTAAAATCATTAACTAATTTGACTAATTAAATAATTATTGTATGCACATAATTTATATATGATATACAGACGTTCGTGAATGTTTTAGTTAATGAATTTGTTATTTTGGTTTGTGCTATGCGCATTAAAGTAAAAGGAACTTTTACACATTGCAGTGTAACATTTTGAAAACATTGATATTACCGATGCAGTATTCTCCAACATGAGGTCTTATTAGCTGCTCTCCCAACACTTGGGGGGACGGGGGTTTCATTGTGTTTTGGATTAATCTTGCTTACACTAAGAAAAAACATTAAAGATTTTTGAAGTCTGTTGGTGGTGTTATTTATTTGAATAATTTGCTTGAAAAATGTTATCTTAAAATCATTGATTATCGGACATGATACTATTGACATATTCAACTGTGGCAATCCAAGTTGTTTTAATTTGATCAGGAAAATGTTTGGTTTCTGTTATACTATCATACTTTGCCAATTAAGTGGCTTGTGTGAGTATAATATATATTAGGAATGTTTCTTCTTGTATT